TTTATCATATCGATATACAGGGTGTCTCATAAAGATGTTATTACACTTTTCAGTTAAGATTTTGATCGAAAATTACGTTCATTATAAAAAATATAAAAATCAATTCCGATACTCCCGGAATTATAAAATTACAGAAAATGTAAGTTCTCCGGGACGTAAAAAATTTGACAAAAAAAGATTTGATTTTCCTAATTTTACGTGGATTTACGGGAGATACTAAATATTAAAAAAAATGAAATACTATGGAAGATACACTTCAGAATAATTAAAACAAATTAATAAATAAAAATAATTCATTTCTTTGGAATACCCTGTATATACCCGTTATCAGCGACGCTACATCACATTGATCATTTAGGCGCTAGCTCAGGTAGCAATAAAAATATTATGCAATGCAACTTCAGCTGGTTTTTTAAGACGATTTGCGGCTCACTAACAAATCCCTGCTCAATATTTCCAGCATCTTTCGTACCTCGAGCGAAACAACATGGTACAACAAAAATTCTACACGGTGCTACTTGTCGCCAGCCAAACTATCACGATCACGTTCGATCCGATCTTGATCTCTTCCCGCACCTGATTCCTACCTGATTGCTCTCTTACCGCGTCACGCGTGGCTTCGCCACCAGCCTGATCGTTCTCATACCTTGCTGTTGATTACGAGGATCATGCGAATAGCTGTTGCTGACGACGGTGGTGGTCGAGGTCGAGGTGATGGAGGTCGAGGTGAAGGGAAGGACACGACGTGATTGGGTTTCGGAGCTGTACTGTTGGGGGTTGTTAACGTGTCGATGAATGATGGGTTGGCTGTTGCTGCTATTGTTGTTGTTGTTGTTGTTGTTGTTGTTATTACTGATTGGCAACAACGTCTGGCCGTCTCCGTGCGCAGTAGAAACGCCGTAGCTCCTTAAGCGGTGCTGACGTTGCTGAAGAGACGCCCTGCGACTCCTAAGGATATTTCTGCTGCCACGTTGCTGGCCGCCCCCCGTGGTACTGCGTATATACATCAAGCCCGAGACACTCATCAGTCTATCTCTCGATTATCTCCGTGCGGGGGCAAACACCTGCTGGTGGCTTCTCTCGACGGTATGTCTCGTAGCGCGGTATTCTCGTTGATCTTTTTTTTTTTTAAATGTAATTATCCGGGGACGGATAGTCGCGTGTTACTCGAAGTTTTCGATATACCCGGATTCTACTCTTACGTAATCTACGTCTAATCTTCCTCACTATTTGCTCACGTTAATCTCGATGATCAAATCAGGGTAGAGGGCACGGGCATTCCCGTTGTAGAAATTCGACGCTTAGCTCCTCCATCATTGTCATTGGTTGGTAAATAATCAGTATTATAATTTAATTAAACGCAATAATATTAAATATATTTTACTGATTCTGAAAAACGAGACGATAAAAATTATCACGGAAAATTATGTAACATGAAATCTCACTTTAGAAGTGATGCTTCCTTTATAATCTTATATAAAGAGAGGCTCACAAATCTTTATTATTTCCAAAATTAATTAATTTTGCGCAAAGATTGAGATATGCACATTTATTAATTTTATCATTCTTTGTTTGCAAAAATTGTAGCACAAAATATTATATATTTACACTTTGTCTTTCCTTTTAAAAAAAAATTATATGACAACTTCTTAAATCGAACACTCAAACGAAATCAAGATGGCTTTTATACAAATAATTTTCGATATTAATGCTGCTGAATTTCTACAACGGCCAGGTTACTAATTAACTAAAAGGAATAATGGACAAACAAACAAGAATACTTGACTAAATTAGATATTAAGGGCAAAAGATACACCGTTCCAGGATGCGAGCACGACCGTCAAGGCAAGCTATCTTTTAAGATTTCCGAGAGAAATAGAATTAATCCTGAATCTAATACGTTACTTCGATCCAATTTTGAATAAGGGTTTGACGAATAAAAAACGTGGCTAATACAGACATATAATGCATCGAAGCTAACTGAATGATCAAAAAGAAAATAATATTTGGGAAAAGAAGCGTGAAGAAGAGGCATGCCGAGTGGCTTTAAGAGAAAAATAAGCCAATGAAAAGTAAGCTAAGCTCAAACATATGCATGCAGAATGAAGGAAATTGAAAAAATGTTATAAATCATGCGCCTATTGACATTTATATCGTTTGCTCTTTCACAGAAAATTCATAAAAAAAAAAATTAACAGCTTTATTACAAAATGTTTATTTCTAAAGATATTTTTTAAATTTATATTAATGATTTTAATTATTTAAATAAATAAGAATTTATCTAATATTTAATGTAATTAAATTTGTGATTATTAATTCAAAAATGCTATTTTTGATAAATATTAAGATATAATCATTTTTTGAAAAAAAATATATAAGCATTTTTAAATATTGTATTATATTATATTCACTTTCATATTTCAATTTTTGCACTACAGTATTCTTTATATACAAAATGATTCATAATTTTTTTTATTTTTACAATAATTGAATCGTCTAAAAAATTATTACGAAATAATAATAAGATGAATTTTCAGTAAGATCTGAGCAAGACGTATGAGATGTATCTTCTTACCTTGTACTGTGACTCATGAGGACTACGTTTCTGTAACAGCATATAATGGATCCTGATTGTTGGGAAGCGAATGATGAAGTGATATTGATTTCAAAGACAATACAACAAGCAGCTTAAGCAAATTCAATTTCATTTATCTTTTAATCTTTCTGTCTAAATAATTTAAGTTTGAAATCTCAATAATGTACGTTTTTGTTTTTAAAAAAAGTATTTCGTAAATACCAAATATATTTTTGTACGATTTTTACTAAGAACAGAGAAACTGGCATTTAAATAATATTTAAATAAATTATTAGTGCATAAAACTCGAAAATTTAAAATAATAAATGAATTCTAATAAATATATTTGGCGTTTTTAATGAACTTTTTTAAGTTTAAATACGAAAGTAGTACATAAATCCCATAGTTATTAAAAATTTATTTTGAAATTTATTATTATGTATAAAAATTATTTTTTATAAATTTATATTGCGTAGTTGCAGAATAGTATACAAAATTTAATAAATTTATTTATTTATTTTAATTATACATTAAAGTTTTTAAAACTGCTTTTGAAGCGAAAGTTCAGAAATATATTAAAACAAGAAAAATTAAAAGCTTAACTTATATCGATTAATATATTTCATGATACATCTAAATATATCATATATATCTAAATATATCATAAAAAAACCGTGCAAATATTAGTTTTTTACGCCAGTTATATTGTCATTATTTTTGTATTTTTACTATAAAATATATTCATTTAATTATATTTTAAAACTATTGCATATTCCAGGTATCCTGTAAATTAATATCAGTACTGGTTCTTAATTTTGATGTAAAGCGTGACGATGTGCACGAATTGCCTCTAAATGCGAAAGGAAATCGCAGTATGCTTAAACATAATCGGCTCCACATGGTATCTATGCAACGAAATAAAATATCTCGTATGATCTGAAAATGTTATCGCATGTAGGAGCAATGTGAGCTGCAAAGCTGCAAAGTAAAGGCTGGTGAGACGCAAAATAAATCGTAAGAATTCTTTCAACGCAAATCCAAATTGAAAATTGAAAATTCTTCAAACAAAAGTTAATTGCAAATAATATAATAATAAATTATAAAAAAATTCCTATATTTTCATAGTAATCGCGCGCTTTGATCAAGTGTGCTTCGCGACGAAAGGGGGATTTAATTAAAATTGTACGCTTTGCGAAGACGGGTGTATCAAGTTTTTCCAGGAAATATTCTGTGTTACTTTACAAAAGCGATTTATAAAATATATTTTATTACGCTTCGAAAAAGTCGCAAGAACTAAGGCAATGTGAAAGATAAATGTATAGATATATAGATTGGTAAGTCAAGCATATCCTACTTGAGTGAGAGACTACGCGCTGCCTCTATTCTGGTGCTAAACAAGGTAAAAAAACAACAGTCCGATATTGTTGCAAGAGTAAAGAAGATGTATAGAGAAATAGGAAAAATCATCGGACGTACGAAAAATTTGCTAGAGAAACTAAAGACTAAAAGATAAAATAAATAAACTCCGAATTAAAAGTGCATACCATAAAAACGCGTTGTAAACGGAATATAGAAGAAATTTATTGAAACAACGTACCGGAGGAGCCTCGTTATATAATCTGGCCAATTATCCGGAAACATCACGAGGAAGAAACCCACCGCTATGAAGATCATGCCTGCTAATTTCATGCCCATGAAGTACGCCCCGTAAAAAATAACGTCCAATGCTGCGTAATTATATTAATAACGATTAGAATAAGAAATGTATTTTATGAGTAAAATTAAGATAAAGAAATAATTTTATTAGTTATATTTTTATTTAAAACTTATGTTTTTCTAAATAGGAGGTCTTCTTCGATTCTTATTTATACATTTTTTTCTATAAATTTAGTTTTTACTTTGAATTAGATAATATATTGTGAATAAAAAACTACTTTTTTTATTTGTTGATTCATTTCATTTTTTTAAATAATTGATCGACCGTTTTACTTACCAGCGGACACAGGTACAGCTGTTATTAATCCAAGAGTAATGAACAAGTCGTAAGTGAGAGCGATGCTGAAATTGCCGAGCATATTCGCAACTGTGAACAAATCCAAAATTTATTTCACATTTACTTAAATGTTCTTACGAAATAATAATCTAGCTCAGCTAAGTTCTGACCTAAATGGAGGATGCTGGCGGAGAGTAGCGCTGCCCATGGCAATCTTGCCCAATGTATAATTTCCACTCCGGAAAAATACAGGGCCAGGCAAATCGGCCATAACAAGGCCGCGTTACACAAACCAATAAGAGAGAAAAATAAAGACATTTGGCCGAATGTAGTTTCTCCAATTACTTTCTTAAAGAGGACCTAAACGAACAAGTAACTTATTATAGATTTGACATTACATAGCAATTGTAATTCAGATCACAAAGAGTATTACGCGTTTACTTTATAAACGGCAGAACCAGCTGCCGCTGCTGTAGCTAAAACGACACCTCCCAATGTTGGACTTCCAGTTATGCCGTCCATATAGGCTAAGAGCGCGATGCCGGTATTACAAAGAATCACTGCAACTATCTGATAAATAATGAAAAAAACTTTATATTAATAAAATGACAGAATTAAAATTTTCCTCACACCAGATATACATAAAATAAAAAAAAATACTAAAGTATGAATGCCAAGACATTACATGTGAAAAACATCATTTTAAAGCTTTTACAATACTAGCTTTATCATCTATCTCATTAGTTTCAACCTCAAACTATTCTCGAGATGAAAAATTGAATGACCTTTTTCTTAAAACTACTAACCCTTACGCCCACGAATTGCTCGTGAAGAATGACCCATGATAGCAGGTAGACGCATGAAACGTTGGTTGCGAATAACGCCATTACGTCTGTGGCTAACAGTATCCTTAACGAAAGTATGTACAAATAATTTGTGATGACCCAGAGACCGCAGAAAAGACTGCATCTAATTAAGAAGCGGCCGCCAGTAAAACCCTTGTCGCGGAAACCACGAAGACTCTCGACTACTATCTCGGAAGGAGTGGCGCACTTGGTTCTGACAGCCCGACAGAGAAAGTATACCGGAAAATACAGAACTTCCCAGTTGGTGCAGAACCACGTCGTAAAGAAGGGCGCGTCGTATGGAAGGATGATCTGAAAGTGTAACGTCATCTCGTTGCGACGTGAAAGAAAAAGGAGCAGGAAGATATTTTTTTAAATAAGTAAGCTCACATGTTGATGATGAAGTCCGCTCGCAGAGGAATTCACCGAGTCGGACGTTTCCGAGAGCTTGCTTGACTTATGAAAGTATAAATACTTAATGCAATGAGTCGCACCGACCCAACTCGCTGTTACGCATATCGTACGCATACCCCGAAATATATCTGCAATTATAGGAATAATCTGAATTTATAATATATATATATATATATATATATATATATATATATATATGCGTGTGTGTATACATAATTTCGATGTAGATATCGAAATTTTAATAAATTCTGTAACGCATGACTTTATTTCTTTTTTTGTCATTAATGTTTCGTTCAATTTATTTCATCTATTCTGTTTCATTTACTATTCGCGACTTTTACACAACTTGAAATTAGAGATGCAATCCAGAGACCTTCTTCGCGCTTTCCGCGCAGCAGGAAGCAAGGCAGGCCGCAATCGAACTGGGTTGCTGTGGCTGCTGAACAACCGGTGTCGGAGCCGAGGTCATATGACTCGATTGAGTTTGACCTGTCGATTGTACATCCCCGCCATCGCCGCCGCCGCCGCCGCCGCTTCCAACACTTCCGGTGGCCTCCAGGGTGCGACAACTCGACGCAGAATCGCCGCATCCATCGGCGACACTGCAACCCTGCTGCTGCTCGCATCCTGAAATATTGACATTTATGCCGAATTTTCATCCCACGGTATCTCACTGGGACGGAGGTACCTTTGTTTAAGTTTATTCTCGCGCAAAGTGAATTTTAAGCGGTATATATTAACTCAACTGGTATCCATAGTTAGATCGTCGCAAATTGTATGTTGGAGGCAACAGGAGGAAGCTATAGATCAAATCTATTTTTATCCGGCTGAAAAGAAAGCTGTGTACAGTGTATGTGCGCGCTTGTTTTTAACAAGGGAAAGTGATACGACATGTGCAGCTCTTCGAAGCGTGTTCCGTGTTTTGAAATTTTGCAGCTTTATATCGAGGCAAAATATGCGAATCAGCGAATCGAATCTATATTACGCGCATATCAGGCGAGCGCTTCGATAAAGCAAAAACGACACTAATACTAAAGAGCTGACATAGCCTTCCTTTAGGATTTTGAAGTGTGTCTTTTCTTTGAAAATATTACACTACTCTATAAATCCATTGTTGCTAAATTTTTTGCATTCTCTAAACAGTATTGAAATACAGTTGTAGATTATTCTATGGGACCTCATTTTCAAAGCCGCTCTTATAATCTCCTTCCAGCCAACAGATTTTACATCTAACAAGCAATTTTCTTTGGGAAAACTTCGTAACAGATTATTTACACTTGTTTCTAACATTCACAGAACATGCAATAATTTTACAATTGTTTTAAACAAAAATTGCGTTATGACGTCTAAGTAAAAAATTAATCAACGACAAAAACTCGTCTTATTTTTAAAATCTTGCGTGAAACTTCACTGAGATATGAGAC